TAGTTTATGAGAAGACATGGTTATTTGAACTGTTGTTTAATGAGACTTTTCAGTTTATTTTGTTTTCTACCCCTCCTCTACACTAAATGCTTGTGTTATTACTTGTCACATGTTAGATTATATAGGTCTGCTCCAAATGATGATTAGTTTAATACTCTATTTTTCTTTGTCAAAATATGTCCAGTATAAATCAGTATGGACCCAAACCAAGTACGTCGTAGAAGGAGAAACGCAGCTATCAACTTGCTCGTAGAGTACTACAACACATACATCGACCGTTCCCCCTGTTACACATCATCACAATTTGGAGACAAATGGGTAGCAGAAATGCTTGGCGGGCATCCCACAAGATTTCACAACATGTTCCGCATGACACAAGAAGTTTTTACAGATCTTTTAGCAGAACTAGTGGGCTCTCATGGCCTCCATGGGTCTATGAGAATGACTGACCGTGAGGTGTTGGCGATTACTCTTTATATATTATCACAGAACGAGTCAATGCGCGGTGCGATGGAACGATTCCAGCACTCATCAGAGACGATTAGCAGGTACTTCTCAGTGGGTTTGAGTGCTTTGGAGAGCCTCGCAAAACAAGTCATAAAGCCACTAGATCCAACGTTTTCACGAACGCCTGCAGAGATTCGTCAAGATCGACGCTACATGCCATTCTTTAAGGTACTGATTTAATCTTATATTAATAAAGTATAGAATGAATGTAGGACATTAATTAGTTAATTACTAGAGCTACATGTTTAGGATTGCATCGGTGCGATAGATGGAACACATGTTGATGCACGTGTTTCAAATGAAGAGAAAGTTGCATTTATCGGACGTAGTGGATCCACAACACAAAATGTCATGGCAGTTTGCGACTTTAATATGTGTTTCACATTTATCATGCCTGGTTGGGAGGGTAGTGCCCATGATAGTAGGATTTTCAAGAGTGCAACACGGAATCCTCATTATAGCTTTCCCCATCCTCCTCAAGGTATGTTGTGCCGCGAAATATTTTTTGTATTTTTTTAAAATGTGGAACTCAAGATTCAACATCTTACAGGAAAGTATTATTTGGTGGATGCCGGTTATCCGTTGCAGCGAGGGTATCTCAAACCATATCCTGATACGAGATATCATATACCTGATTTTGAACGAGCAAGTAATGTTACAAGAAACAGAAATGAGGTGTTCAATAAAAGACATTCTTCTTTGCGAGGCGTCATTGAGCGGACATTTGGTATCTGGAAGAAGAAATGGGTGATCTTACGTGATATGCCTCCTTACCCGAGGTTCAGATTGTGATAGCAACGATGACAATACACAATTATATTAGGCGATACCCGTCGCGACATGACGTTGATTTCCTCAATGCTGAAGCAAATCAACGGGAACCAGTTGAAGACCCCTCTGACAACCAAATGAGTAGTTCTATGTTACGAGATGACAACGAACAATTAACAATTTGCAATAAGGAAGAAGAAGGTGCAACTGAAATGACGGCCATTCGAGAACAAATTACTAATGCGTTAGTTAATATGTGATTCATTTGCAGTTTGTTAGAAAGACCAAATAATTGTTAGCTTTAAACTTTAGCTGACACCAAATGTTTACTTTAAATGATTAATTTTAAGATTAAATTCCCGTAGATGCTTTTGTCGAGACATGAGAACTCTAACATTCTTTTTTTTTCATTCCTCTCCTCCCTCTTATCCTTTTCCCAAACAAGGAGAAGCCAAAAGCTACCATCTCGTGCCCTGCTAAACCAAATAATTTAATACATTATCCTCCTCCCCATTGTGATGGTGTAACATTCTATCTCTGTTTCTCTCTTTTGCATCTAGCTCTATCTTTCACTATTAGTCTCTTATTTTTTCCTCCAACAAAAATTATCTTAGCAACTCCGATGTCTTCCTTCCCTAAATGCTTTCCCTCATCACGACACAACAACACCTATCTTTCATAGTTCCAACTAAGCGTACAAGATTGAGAAAAACAGAGAAATTTATCAAACTAAATAGGTCATAATCTTCATAGTTCCAAATTCCAATGTAACATCCGAGGCAATTAGAATAAAATGGCTTAAATTATCACCAAATCTGAATAATAGTCAATTTCATTCAAGCCTGTTCTTTCTCCTTGTTCTAATCTTCCACCCATGCAAATTTATATTTTGATATCTATATTAGTGGTATTTTACTTATGCATAAAAATATCAAATTATATTTTTTTAATATATATA